TGATAATGATGAAAATAGATCTGAGTATTTATCTGATGAAGAAAACGTATTAGCTAATGATGAGTATTATGAAGAGGTGGAAGAATATAATTCAAATGAATTGGCATCATCATTTATGACAGCATTACATAATTCATAATTCCAATTTGTAAAAAAAAATTTTTTTATAATTATTATTACATTATTTTGCTGTACATATTAGAAAGATTTTTTTGATTTTCAGTTGTTTTGGAAATATTTTTTATAATAAAATTATTTTATATAGATTAATTAATATATGTAAAAGTTTTGTTATTTATGAATTTTTTAATCATAGGTTTGACAGTTTAGGAGTTTCGCCCACAGTTTAGGAGTTTCGCCCACGGTTTAGGCAATTTTTGAGTTTCTCCACTAGTTTAGGAGCCTAAACTCCCAATGTCTGTGGGCGAAACTATTTCGGATTTTCTAAAATAATTTCGGCCACCATCATTAAGTTGCCTCAAGTTGAAACATTTCGACTTTGGGGTTTTAATTTCGACTTCATTTATAGTGGGAGGATGGTGTTTGTGGAGAAAAAGGGACTAGTCTGTAGTACAATTAAAAAATAAATGGATAAATGGATAATTATCACCATGTGTCAGAAAGCAAAATGTCTTAAAAATACTTACAATATCATTAAAATTATTATCATCCTTATAATAGGGATATAAATTAAATTTTTAGAAATAGGCAATTGATAAGTGGGATTTTTTTGTTTAAAACTTACTATTGTTGTTGTATTGTTATTGCTTTTAATTTTTTCAACAAAACTTTTTATATATTCTATTCTGCTTCTTTATATCTCATTGTTATCTTCGAGCATATTATTAACATCCTCTATTTCAAAATAAAACTGATTACTAAAAAATTTTTTCAATTTATTGAATACATTGATGCACTTTTGTTCATCATTCTGATTGGAAATAGTATATTAATATAAGATTAATTAATAACAGTTTAAATTGAAAAAATCAAAAAACAGTTGATCACAATAGTAATCAATATACTTACATTTGAGAATGAAGCAATTGGTTCTGTAACATTTTCATCATAAACATCATCAAGGTATTTCCTTTAACATTTGAGAAACAAGCAAAAAGTTAATATAATGTTAAAGAGTTATGAATAACATTTTTTTCATTCTATTATTATTTGGGAACTATAGTGCAAGTCATTTAGTCACTGAACTTTTTGTACCATGATGCCAATTTTTCAAAAAAACTAGAGTGATGATGAGTGGCGGTGATAACCACCTAAGGTTGTGGGCGAAACCTCTTAATGACTGTTGAAACTCTGTTGAAACTCTAATGAACAATTAATGTGTAACCTGTCGAAACTATGATGATTGGCGAAAACCCCAAATGCGAAACTCTGCCAAAACTCTAATAAACAATTAATGTGTAACCTGCTGAAACTCTGTCAATTGATTTCTGGAGGAGTTTCTCCCGCAACCTTATAACCACCACCACCATTCTTACAATAAACAACACTTACCCATTCCTTCCTTCAAATTCTTTACTTCTTTTCTCTTTTTTTTCTTTTAAAATTGATGACATTATTTTTTAGAAGTTGTTTTGTAAGATTAGCCTGTTCTTCCATTGGTAAAGGTTTCCAATTTGTTTCAATGTTGGTAATAGCAACTGGTGCTGAAGTTGTTGAGGCTTTCCTAAATTATTTTTGTTTGAATTACTTTTAGATTGAAAAATAAAAAAAAGTTAGTTGATTGATCAACAAAAAATGCGTACACTAATTATTTATGTATGGAACCCCTGTTGTTTTTTTTTGTTGACATGAATAAAAATTTTATTTTTTACAAGACGAGGAAATATAAATGTTGACTGGTGTGGTTTGGATCTGAAGACATGTTAAATAACTAACCAGAGGTAACTTTTTTTAATTTGCATTGATTTTTCATTGAAATCAAAATGTGGAGCAGAACTTGCTGGGTAAATATAAGATTCTCATCAAGATGGTAAACAATTGGTATTACTAAAATGGTGATTGATAAGAATGTTGCAGAAGTAGTAAAGAATTTTCTAGAAAATTATGCAGAAGTTCATTGATTCCCAAGTCCAGGAAGAAGTAACAATAGAATAACTCAATCAATTACATTCTTACAGCTGAAATAAGTTACAAATCAGTACATAGAGATTTTTTAGCTGGTCTAGAAGAAGATAGTAATTTGAAATCTTTGAAGTATGATGTTTTCAGAAAATTGTGATGTCAATTGACACCAGAGATTCAAATTATGAGTCCCAGGACTGATCTGTGTGATACTTGTCAACATTTTAGAAATGGTTTACATTATAATGCTCACCAAGAGGAAGAAGCCAAAGATCTACTTAAACAATTTAAAGAACATCTGTCCAAGGCAAAATTAGTAAGAAATTATTATAATAAAAATACCAAATTAGCAGAAGAACAAAGAAAATTAGTTAATCAACATTATTCAAAGGGTAAAACACAGTATTGCAGCATTGATGCCACTGCTAATTATAGTTATGATTGAGCTCAAAATGTTCATATTAAGGTTTCTGGTCGAAACTGCTTCTATTAGTAGCCGAAATTACCCAAATACTTTGGGCGAAAATTATTTTTTTATAAACCCAAATTACTTTTTGTTATTAGCCGAAATTGGGCGAAATTATTTTAAAGTTGTTTAAATTAAATCAAGTTGATTCATATAGTTTTTTAATGTTCATGCTTATAGAAAATGTTGAGAAGCCCAAATTGCCCAAACTAGTTTGGGCTTTGAGAAAACAGTTTGGACCAGAAACCTTAGTTCATATGCCACATTCAGATCAACAAGTAAGTAAAATCTATTACCTTAGTCTATGTAAAGTTCATTTATTTGGTATCCAAGATGAAGCAGTAAGGGAACAAATCAATTATGTTCTTAATGAAGATGAAATTATAGGAAAAGGACTCAATGGCACACTTAGCATGATTTTTGATGGAATCAAAAAATTAAATAAAGGTGAAAAACATTTAAAGATTACTTGTGATAATGCTGGTGGTCAAAATAAAAATAATGTAAAGTGTTGAATTGAATTTCATGATTCCTGGACATACCAAATTCAAATGTGATGGTAGTTTTGGATTGATTAAAAAACTTTATAGAAAAACAAGCATAGATTGTGTGGACCATGTTGTAGAAGTTGTGAAAATATCAAGTCCAGCAGGGTTGAATAAAGCTCAATGTTATGAAAGTGGAAAGGGTTTTCAATACTTGGATATCAAATCTATTTTAGGAATTTATTTTAAGAAATTACCAAGCATCCAGAAATATCAACATTTTCTTTTTGAAGCAACTAATATTGGAACAGTAAAAGTTCAAAAAGTTGCTAATGGACCTTTTATTGAATCCAATTTATTGAAAACCAAGAAAGCAGATATTTTTGAAGAAGATAGAACTTTAGTGTTGACACCACCTCCTTTGGATTACAAAAGACAAGAATATCTTTACCAGAATATTTGTCCATTTGTTAGAGATGAATTCAAAGATATTACTTGTTCAAGACCAAGATGAATGCATTAAAATATATTTATATATGTAATTGATTATAATAAATGTGTAACTATTTCTCATGCCAAACAATGAATATTGTGAGATCAAAATCCGTGTCTCACACAAATCTATTGATTTTATTTAAACTAATATTTATTCTGTTTTCTGGCAGTATCCAATTATGTAATTCTTTGATTACTTTCTCTTACTACAGTCCGGGTTCTTTCCAAATTTAGGTATAGAAATTTGCGCCTCTTTGTCGATCAATTCATATATTTTTCATATGTTACAAACGAGTTAATGTGATACTTTGTGCTTGTTGAAAAAAAATTTTTTTTAAAAAAATTACTATTATAATTATTTAAATAAATACTACAATATTTTCTCTTCCATAATCTGTTAAAAATCTATAAAAATCTATTGTTTTCCTCAAAGTATACTTTGCTTAAAATTCAAGAAATTCTGTAACAGAAGTTCAAATGATTTGGTTTTTTACTCAATTTACTAACTTATTTATTTTATTTTTAATTTTAGTGAATAAAATGCTCGCTAGTGACTTACCTTGTTTACTTGTTCAAAAATATCAAATTGAAACCATATGATGATACTAATAGTGACGATAGATGAGCATCAGGAAATAAAGCAAGCAAATGAGCATGTAAAAATATTTGATAATTATTCAATCTGTGTTATCAAATTGTTACTTCTAATTTTCTTGAAAAATTAAAAGCAGAGGACAATCCTTCAAGAGAAAGCCAACGGAAATGACTTAAATAACTATTGATGAAGATGCAGAAGAACACTGTAAATGTAATTCTTGGTTTATTTCAATATGGAACTCAAATACAATTTTTTTTACATAATAATAATAAATGCAATAGTTAAGTTCTAATTTCCAACCTTTAAATGTTTATTACATATTTTGTTTATAGAAAAGTATTAACTTCAAATTTGCTTTTTAAAGATTATTTTCATAATAATAATAAACATTTTACCTA